CAACCTAAATAAATTATGAGGGTAATACTAATAATAGACATTATAAATCAAGTACTTAGTACATGTCATGCATGTTCTAGTTGCCTTTTGCTCATTAATTAACTAAATCCTTACAACAACCCCATTAGGTTTTATCCTTATTTTACAGCTGTAGAAACTGAGGCATAGGGAGAGGTTATGTTACTTGTTGTAGCCATAGTTGGTAAGTGTCAGATCCAAGATTCAAACCAGGTGACATTGGCTCCTTAGCCTTCACTTTTATTGTTGAAAGTATTACAGATGTTCCCTTTATCCTCCCCCCCCCCTCCACTTACCCTCTTACCTTCTCCCTTCTCTCCCCAGGCCTTCCCCAACTATTGTCTGTCCATGGGCTATGCATATATACGTATAAGTTCATTGGTGAATTCCTGCTCCCCACCTCCCTTCCCTCTGAAATACATCAGTCTGTTCCATGCTTCAATGTCTCTGGATCTTTTTTGATCATCAGTTTATTTTGTTCATTAGATTCCACATATAAGTGAGATCATATAATACTTGTCTTTCTCTGACTGGCCTGTTTTACTTAGTATAATATTCTCCACGTCCCTCCATGCTATCTCAAAGGGTAAAAGAGATCCTTCATTTTTACAGCTGCATAGTATTCCATTTTGTAAATGTGCCACAGTTTTTTAATCCATTCATCTACTGATGGGTATTTGGGCTCTCTCTAAATCTTAGCTATTGTAAATAACACTTGCTAAACACTTCCTATATTTTTTTTTCTCATTTCATCCAATAGTTGCATACTGTTAAGACCCTAATATCACAGAACAGGGAATGCCCTGACACACACATGCACACACACACATTCCAGACTGAATACTAGTAAGTGGAGAGGACAAGCTGCTAGTTCATTAGGCAATATTCCACTTCAGTAAATATCAAACCTCCAAGAAAGTTAAATACTGCACTTTCTACCTCATTGAGGGAAAAATCTATTACCTCTTGCATAGTGAATATCATGTCAGCAAGATCTTTTATAATAATTTAAGGAAATTTTGATGATATGAAATTGAAATTATTTCATTCCTAATACCTTAATTGTAATTCTTTCAAATATATTACCCCTTAATGTTACAACAACCTAACAAGTTATCTAGAATAATGTAGATAATTCAGGGAAGTTAAAAACACACATTGATTATTGCCTTTAAAAAACTTGGGTATATTTGTTATATGATTTCTTGCATTATTACTTTTAATTTACTCCCTGTCTCATTCTTTACTTTCTGTTGATGATGCTCATTGAAGCTTTTATGAAAGTCAGACGGTACACATTTGCTGAGGGTGTCTTGGGAACAAGCAGAGAGAAAATCAACCGGAAATCTTTGTTATATGATTTCTTGCATTATTACTTTTAATTTACATCCCTGCCTCATTCTTTACTTTCTGTTGATGATGCTCATTGATGCTTTTATGAAAGTCAGAAGGTACACATTTACTGAGGGTGTCTTGGGAATGTGCAGAGAAAGAATCAACCAGAAATCTCAGTTTTTGACTGTGCCTAGAATGTGCACTGCCAGATGTGTCCCAGGGCTAATCTTCATAACCAGGAAGATAGTGAATGCTCACACCTTTGCAAAGGAAGATAGTGAATGCTCACACCAACTCTCTGCGACTGCTAACTTTGGGTCAGCTTCTTTAGTTCCCTGGCCCCGAACTGCCACAAATGTGCTTGAGCATCCTACATACATACAAAGAATGTATTGGAACTCCTGAAATTTCCAAATTTCAAGGAATATTGGACTTTATGTTTTATATATTACCTGTTACTTGCTGAAGATAGCTTGTTGCTTGTTCATACAGAATTAAGAATGGCGAATGGACTATTCTGTTGATCTTGCACAAGTATTATTCATTGGATTGTGAATAAGCATCAAATTGGTGGTCAGGAATTACAAATTAATACAAGTTAGCATAAATATAATAAAACTTTTGGGGTCCTCCAAAGAATTCTTTACATCTAGCTCTTGCACCAACCAAGTCTTCAGCGTTGGATCAATACATCAAATCAAGAATAAGTGGAACCCCAAAGTCACACCATCCTATCAAAATAATTATCTTTAATTAATATAATTATTGATCATGTAGTAGAAGTCACTGTCTAGATGATATAAGGTTTTTAGAATTTCGTGGGCATGCTTTACAACTTAATTATGTTTCCCTAGGAGATTATAACATAAGTCAATTTATTTTTCCCATGTGTTTCATCAATCACTATGTGAATAGAAGGAATATCAGAATCCCATCTCTATGTCAATCCCGCACAATTTAGACCAGTCATTTCAGTGGTATGAGCTGATTGGAAGACACGGTCCCTCGCACCTGAGGGCAGTATGCGTTCTGTTGGTTTTGTAATAAGCGTGAGGAGGCTAACAGCCAAAGCCTGTGATCACTGTGTTTCAGCGTTCGTAGCAAACCAAATGTAGGCGTGTGTACAATTCCCTCTTAGATGTGTAAGGAGCTGTGTTCTTCTTTGGGCCTTGGTTTTCTTATCCAAGAGAGCAGGTGGCATCTAGGCTTCCTTCCTCTTGTAAAGCTCCGTGTTCTAGTGTTGCTTGTGATTCAGCTCTTATGACTCACAGGGAATCTTGTTCAAATGCAGATTCTGATTCAGTAGCTCTAGGTGGGGCCTGGGCTCCTGTATCTAACAAGCTCCCAGCGGATGCCGGTGCTCCTGGTCTGCAACCACACATTTTAGCAAGGATGCAAATGATGCACAGAGACAAATGGGGGAAGATGAGCTCTTCGCCTTTCCGTGGTGACGTTTCCATTTGCTTCCCTCCCGGGGCTACAATTCCCGACTTTCTTCTGCAGACCTGTGCGCGGCACCACGCAGAGAGGGGGCTTTGGGGAGACCGAGAGCGTCCTTATAGCAGAGTATAGATGCCTCCTCCAAGGAAGAAACCACGGAGCTTATCAGGAAAGCGGTGTGCCTCTAATGTCAGCCATCCCCAGCCTGCTGAAATATGAAATAAATGAGGTGGAGTTTAATTTTAGGGTCTACAAATTTGTAATGCGTTCGTCATTCCTGTTGCCATTTTACATGGCAGGCTGAGGCTGACAGACATGTTTTGTGAGAAGAGCGGCACTTGAGCTCTGGTTTAATGAAGCACTCGCATCCTCTCACGTCCCTCCTCTAATCTCCACCAGCAGGGATGAGAAAGAGATGCCACTCCTAGTAGAGGTTTTCATTACTGGCAATGTGCATCTCTGGCTTTCCTGGAGGCAGGCTCTGGGGAATTTTCTCAGCTGGACCTCAGACTGGCATCCAGCAGAGGGCGCACTGCCCCAATGCCCTGACCCCAGAGCCCTTTCTCCTCTCTCGGGCTGACTTTTCCCTGTGGGGCTGGATAGGGCTATGGGAGGGTCAGAAGTGGGCTCTCAGGAGGAGATGAGAGGAAGACTATTCTAAGGGAGAAAAATCAAATCAAATCGTTTCAAATATGAATCAGTGGCTTTTAAAATGAAAGATCTATTTGGCTACTGTCAAGAGGCAGCTTTTCATAATTCTCAGCTGTTATAAGACTATGTTCCCTTTCTTAAAGCTTCTCTAAGCCTTACACTGTCCAGCATTTGAATCTTTCACTTTAATGGGCACTAAGTAAGAATTACATAAAGAATTTTAGTAATTCTCACTGGACAGATAATGAAGCAGGGAGAAGTCTTTAGAACTGTTACTCTTTCTGCCTCTTACAGACAAGTGCTTCCACAGATCCCAAGGAAAGAGGCCACGTTTATACATATACATAAATAATGATGTGTGGTTTAGCAATTTTTCTCAGTAACAAACGACCTCCTTAACGAGCTGAAATAGTGAAATTAAAACGCACCTTTTTGTGGCCCACTTGCACCTGAACTCTACTCTCCGTTCCTTCAACTTTGCTCAGGAAATGAATTCCCTGTACCTTCACAGGGGCTCGAATGTGTTGATTTCAAGTTTTCCAAATTTTCTGTGCCTCCGTAAATCACAGGGGCATGACCCAGCCCAGTCATTCATTACAAAATTCTTTCCTTTTCTTTCTATGTTTTTTAACAGCTTCTGTTTTTCCTCATTCTTGATGGATTCTACCACAAACTTCAGCTAGAGTGAGTGCAGACGACCATAACCTAACTCTCACATAGAGGGTATTTTATTAAGTCCAGCAGTTAAAAATGTACAAAGTTCCTTGTAATAATCCATTCATTCTGTTCTCCCCTGATTCTTGGAGTAAGCCTGCACAATTATTCAAATCCCAGCTTTTAGCTATAGCGTACACCTCGCCATGGGGCTGTGCCTCTGTAATCTTGCTTTGGTCTTGCATGTCAAATGGAATTAACTCCCCTAAGAAATGTGTGCGAAGACAACCCAAAGTGTCTAATCCTGCTGCTGTCTTAAATTTCTGAAACTCTGAGCTGTCATCTTTTTCTATTGCTTTGTTGAAGTTCTCACTTATGCTTCAGTCCATCCAAAGCTGAAGTTTAGGAAAATTTGCATTTTTATATATTTTTTCAGTTATGCTCTCCCTTGGCCCTTTTACATGTTCTCTTTGTAGAAGGATTTTTTTTTTCCCCTTCAGATTCCAAGACCATTTTATACACAGTGGAATTTCAACGAGAGGTGGATTCACTTTTTTTTTTCATTCTGAGAGTACACAAGTTGAGACATACACAACACTAGTTGAAGATTCGCAAGCCACATTTAGACAGATGGAGGTGAGGGTGTGTGTGTGTGTGTGTGAATGTTTCTCTGAGTATTGTATGAGAGGGGAGAAGAAATAATGATGTCATTATTACTATACCTTAACCACTCAACCTAGCTAATCACAAAAACTAATTTTGTCTCAATTGAATCTCAAACTGCATCATCTCCCTCATGAATAAAAATGCTTGATGAAATGAGCTTGGTTAGTCTACTTGTATGTTGTATTAAGAGTAAATTAGTTTGATGAGTAATTTCAGACGCTTTCTTCCTTCTGTAGGGGGCATACCATTTAAAAATGCTGAGATTCGCCTCTTCCTTCGCCAGCAAATCCTGAACTCCGTTTACCACCTCCTGCAATTCCTAGACACGAGGAAGTTGGAAGAATACTCAGTATCTGGAACACAAAGCAAGCACTTGATATTTGTTGAATTCCTTTCCTGAGTAAGATCAGCTTATTCTATCTTTCTTAGTGACTTACCCTTTTGCCTCAATTTACAAATTATATCATTCCGTCTGGAAATGAAAACTGCCCAGGTTTTAGTAAACTTCCCTCACAGCCTGTGTTTTCAGCCTGATAATTATACGTGGTGCCTGTTTTTAAATCACCAGCTCTTCAGCATTGTGGGTTTTTTGAGGTGTCTTGACTAAGTGAGATGCGGAAGGATAAAATTGTAACTTAGTGTGGTGGGTATTTAATAAGTGGTAAACCGCCGCGTTTTCCATGCGAAAGTTAATTAAGGCCACTCGCTGACCGGGCTTGTGCAGAAAACATGTTCATGGTTTAGCCATGGAAACAGTCACAACAACGCTCAGCTAAAAATAATGGCCTTAAGAGACATTTTCTCTGCTCATTCCTGCATGTTTATTGTTTTTTTCTAATAAAGGGATTGTCACATTTCCGAGGAAATAACCCAGTCACACCAGCTTCTTTCCAGATTTGGAAGTTTTCCTTATGCCTGGCCAGTGGGAATTAAAATGGGGAGTGATGGGAGGGGACAGCCCTAGGACCAAATTGCATTTTTAATGCTGCATGCAAGAATGTCTCTTATAAAGTAATCATCCATTGTGTTCTCTCAAATCTCTTTGCCTAGTTAATAATGGCCTTTAATATGTGGATGCAACTAGTTTGGGCACAAGATTAAGTTAACTCTCTAGTATCAAATAGTTTATTTTATCAAAATAGGGTTTGAGTTTGTTGGAGAGCTTGCCTTTGTTGACAGACAATATAATCTGAGTTATGTTTCCGTGTGCTCATTGTTTCTTCAGGATGAGAGTACTGGAATAAGACGATATATTTTATTATACAATATATTACTTTGACTAATAGGATTGAAAGTGCACATTAAATATAAATGTCCTTTCCGCATCTGGATGGTGAAGGCAGGTTGTCCTATCCAATATATTAATGCTATTCTAGGATCCAGTGATATCTAGTGTAGCTGAAATAGGTGAGAGCAATGTTTCAGGCAGATGGGATAAAGGTGTAACCAACAAAAAATGGTATCAAGGAGGCCGAAGGGATGCTGGGGCTTTGTTAAGCTATTGATTTCATGTTGTTTTGTAATGGAACAGTAAGAATTCTGTTTGAAATCACTCCGGTAATGGTCACACTGTAATCTTGGTCCATAAGTTCTTCCATTTAATTTTAAACTATCTTACTGGTATTGGAGTGTATTAAGGCCAGGTACTACAAGAATTCCTCTCCTACCTTCCCATCCATCCTTATTCAGTGAGAATCTCTAGGCACAGCTCCAGCAGAATTTTGAGCTCAAATGAAGAGTTCATCCATGGCAGGACTTGGTAGAAGAAAAATGGCACAATGGGACATATATTTTCCCCACCTTCCAAGATCTATACCTCCTGTCTTGCATATGCCATCCTATAACCACATAGAGATCATATTACAGTATGAGAAACATAAAAATGCAGGTCTAAATGTAAAACTTCTCCCCCGTATCCTGGCCACATCTGCATCAGTGTATTCTAGACAAAACTGCCCTGAAGTTGCCATCCCCACAAATTCTCACCGCGGCTCTTTTAACCTAAGATGAGCTGACAAACATCAATCTCTGCCAGTCATAGTTGGGTTTTCAGGCTCCATTTTTCTCATTGGCTACTTCAAATGAATACCGGTTTTTGCTAGTGTGTTCCTCCTCCTTCCCAGTCTCCTTTCATTTTTGTTATTTGTTCTAATTTAATTGGAAATGCCCAGCCTCTGACTGCAATCAGGTGAGGAAGCTCGGGAGACTTCCAGCAAGAGCAAGTCTCCTGAAAAGGGTCTTTTGGACACAACAGAATGAGCCTTTATTTATTATCTCAGGGATAACAAAACCTGGAGAGAGCAAGATGCTGCAGTGGCTGTCCTTTCAAGAGACAGCTAACTTGGTGAAACACCCCTGTCCCCAGGGGACGAACAGACCGCCCCTTGGCTCAAAGTCTTCCTGCTGTCCCTGGCTGCTGGCTCTACAGCCAACAAAAGCAAGGCTAACATAACAAGCAGAGAAAGTGTCAATAGGAACCCTCTCCAGGAGCCTAGCTTTTGGAAGTGCACTGGATTTGGAGTTTATACAAAGGCTTTGGGAAGTTTTCACTGACCATGGCCACATACCTAACACTGTAACTTCCTTCTGTGAGATGGAACGTGTGGCTTATTTCTTTCATGATTCCTTAGGGCAGTGGTTGGCAAACTGCGGCGCAAACCGCGGCTCGCGAGCCACACGCGGCTCTTTGGCCCCTTGAGTGTGGCTCTTCCACAAAATACCACGTGCGGTTGAGCACGTACAGTGCGACTGAAACTTCGTGGCCCATGCACAGAAGTCGGTATTTTGTGGAAGAGCCGGTATTCCTTAGGGAATGGCCTCAGTTTCCCCGTGCACCAAATGAAGATGGTTGGAAACGAATGAACATTGGACTTTGCAAAGAGTCATCTGGGTTTAAATGCTAGTTTATGAGCTGAGGACATTACTCTCTCTCTAACCCTCAGTTTCTTCATTGATAAAAAGGAAAACAATATTTCCCTTCCTGATTGTGGTGATCAAATGAAGTACAGAGATGTATTGTTGAGAAAAATATCAAAACATTTATGCCAATGTAATGTTTGGTGTGTAGAGCTAATGACACCACAGATGCCAATGTGCATGAAAAACAGGAAGGATATAGAAATAGAAGATATTGTTATCATTTTCAAAATATTAGGTCATTTATCTCCACAACAGGAAGGGGGGGGGTGATCCTTACTTCCAAATTCCAGCCTGGACCTACCACATCCAGAGGTTGTTCTGCGAAGAGGAGAAGGTTCATGTCCGCCCCTCTACACCTCAGAAATGTGGCAAAACAACTCGGTGAGAGACTATGGAAGGCAGCACCCCCAGGGTCCTTCATGTCAGAGTTATTACAGATAAGCAATTATCTTGCATAGTTTATCTTCATGTGTTGTGAGTTTCTGGGGAAGGTGGAGAAAAAGTCAAAAGTTCGTGATAGTCTGCGGTTTGGTTATTTATTACAAGAGAGAAGTAGATGAAGTGGGAAATGGACAGCTCTAATCTAACTGGCTAACAGACCATAGCCAGTGTCCAGCTATATGATTTTCCAGGATGTGGAGACGTTAGATTTCTATGGTGATTAGCCAGGTGGATTTTTGGTCAATGCAGGTGCTTCATCCTGCTGCATGTCTGCCTAGGACCGGTGTGTCTAAAGACATGAAGAGTCTTCTTAGGAAGCAGAGGTAAAGCAGAGGAAGAATGAAAGGGATCATCAACTCTGCGGCCCAGGCATGTCTGTGCTCTTTATCACTAGCATTTAACCCAGGGATTGGCTTTGTTGAATGTTGCCTGATTGAAAATAATTGTGGAAGATTGTGACCTTGCCATTTTTTTAAAAGGTAATACTCCATTCCCTTAAACCAATTCAGAACCCCTCACAGTGCCCTATACAGAGTGAACACCCACACTTTGTGGTAGCAAAACAAACTTGCCCGATATTTGACACTTGCCCTTAAAGTGGAAGGCCCTGGAAGTGCTGACGTCTAGGGGATGGGCAGCAGACAATGGGGCATGTGTCTGGCAGCCTGTGGAGTAACCCGAGCCATTGACCATTTTTCCTCTGTGAGGGGAGGTGTGGCAGTGTTCTGAGGTCCAGACAACAGTCTGCATTGCCTGGCATCCGGGAATTCCCCAGGTGCTTTTGTAGCACACATCACACACCTATTTGCGTGGGGGCCTGGGGAGTAAAGAGGCAGATAGTAGAAGCTACCTAAGCTCTGTGAGCTTCTGGGTCCTCATCTGTGAAATGGGCTAGAGCTTTTTGAGTCTCAGAACTGTGAGAAATTAATGAGATTATGTAGAAGAAGCCTTATCCAGGGTGTCTGGCTCAGAGGAGGCATAGGACAGAAAGGAGCAATACTTATTAGGAGGAAGCATATAACTCGTGTCTTTGGAAAGAGGCCTATCCCTCTCCCTGCCTCCTCCTCCAAGCCTTTGAGGCATTTCTGTAGTAATTGGCTGCTAGGGCTCGGCATCTATCTGTAGAGAAATACATTTTTGTAAAAGGGCTCTGAGGTGGTGGTGTGAGGCGTTTATTAGTGATCTAAGGCAACATACGTTGCCTCTGGTGTTTATTGACGGTTTCTAGCTGGAGGCTCAGAACTGCACAGGCACTAGCGGGTGAGTTACTGTTGGTTGCTACTCTCTGGACCAGCAGGGACTGGCGAGCTCTTGGAGGACAGAGTGCCTTGCATCAATCAACACTGACCCCTCTGGCTGAATATGTACAGACATAAAGAGGCTCCCAAATTAGCCTCTGTTCTCCTTAGCTGGATGAATGAAGATGAAATGCAATCCCTGGAGTGGGAGGAAATGTGTGTGTGGAGGCCTGAGCCATACTCTAGAAATTCAGGCCCATCCCCTCTTGCGTGCAAAACAAATCTGAAATACTTGTATTTTCTTCGGGCCTATTAAAGTATATATGTTTAATAAATTGACATCATAGGAGATGAGGGAGGGAATGGAAGATGTGGGAAGAGAAGAGAATGAACAGGGGGAATAATACCCAGAACTACTTGTTTGATGAATGAATTGAAATGGATCAGGGTGGCTTGGGACTAACTCCAACATTTTTCCAAAGTATGTAATGATGAAATGGACTAATGCTTTGGGCAGAGATGTGTAAGGTGTGGTAATAGCCAACTGATCAATTTTTTAAAAAAATATATTTTATTGGTTTTTACAGAGAAGAAGGGAGAAGGATAGAGAGTTAGAAACATCAATGAGAGAGAAACATCGATTAGCTGCCTCCTGCACACCCCCTACTGGGGATGTGCCCGCAACCAAGGTACATGCCTTTGACCGGAATCGAACCTGGGACCCTTCAGTCCACAAGCTGACGCTCTATCCACTGAGCCAAACTGGTTAGGGCATTTATTTATTTATTTATTTATTTATTTT